TTAATGTGAAATAAGACTACTTGTATTTATTTTCCTGACATCACGTGACGCAGCAATTAATGTAATTGTAATTGTACTCTAGGCCACATGGCCCAAAATACTGAATAAAGAATCTTGAATCTTGAATCTTGACATTCATCTAACGCTTGGTGTATTGTTGATGTACTGGTTGCCTCTTTTGTATTGCGGAACTATACTGGCACGCCTTCACAGTGAGTATTGTGCATTGTTGTTATGTTTTAGAATAATTGTATATCAAGGAGCTGATGTCATGTACTAGGATATACTAGGATAATGATTGTGACGGTATAAAGCATGAGGTAAAATTACTATTATCCATATATCAAACGTTTGGATGTCTCGCAGTTTCGTAATGTCAACCCAAGTTCAAAATACAGAACGTTAATATGTTTGCCAAATAATTTATTCAATCTTATTAAAATCAAATGTTTACTCCGTAGATGAAGAAGTAGAAGAAGAAAAACGAACAGAAGAAGCAGAAGGAGAAACAGAAATAGAAGCATCAGAAGAAGAAGAAACAGCAGAATAGTGAGTGAGTGAGTATGGTTTTACGCCGCTTTTAGCAATATTCCAGCAATATCACGACGAGGGACACCAGAAATGGGCTTCACACTTTGTAACCATGTCGGGAGTCGAACCCGGGTCTTCGGCGTGACGAGCGAACGCTTTAACTACTAGGCTACTTGACCGCCCCTTGCAGCAGAAAAAGAAGTGACAAAAGAAGAAGAAACAGACGAAGCAGAAACAGACGAAGCAGAATAAGAAGCAGCATAAAACGAAGGAGAAGATGAAGCAGAAGAGGAAGGAGAAGGAGAAAAATATCAAGTACAAAATGAGAGAACCCAAGGGTATGTACTTCCCTGCTAGTATACACATGGTAAGAACATTAAAAAATCTCGGTAAGGCGTATAAACCATACCTACCCCACCGACCCCATTCAGCTGACCCACAACCTTTTACATCAACATGTCTCCCGCCCTACTGCCACCCCCTCGAGTCCCAGTGAGCACTGTACCCACATCAGACGGTCTGGACCTACCCCCAGCCACTCTACGCTAAAAACACGTTCACCCACTACCAGCAATATTCCTCTAAATGTACAAAAGAAAACATATGACGACCACCCAAAAAAAAACTCAAACAAACAACAAAACAAAACGCAAAAAAACACAAACAATATTATAAAAAAAACAGCATAAAAATTCCGGAAAATACCCAGACAGACCACTCCCCCTGCTCCACATATTGTGTTGAATTTGTGTATAATATTCCTCAATGTATGCTAATAATTCCCTGAGGGGAGAGATAGCATCTTGGTAACGACCTAACTGGCTGTCGTACCTGCTCACGTCGTATCACTGGGTCCCTCCCTAACAGCTACCTCCCCAAGGCGATTGTTTCTGGTACAGATAGCTATTAAACGAGCGCTCGATCGTCTATAAGACGACTCTCTACACTCTACACTCATTCATCGAAACAGTCTTATGTCATTGATGGGAAGACTTGCCATGTTAAACACCGAGAGTTCGAGTTTCACAGTGTAAATTATGTACCATTCGTAATATTAATCTCTGTCAAAATCCAAGTCTCCTTGCATCCGTTTTACAAACTTTATTGGGTTCAGGGGCGGTCGGGTAGCTTAGTGGTTAAAGCGTTCGCTCGTCACGCCGAAGACCCGGGTTCGATTCCCGACATGGGTACAATGTGTGAAGCCCATTTCTGGTGTCTCCCGCCGTGATATTGCTGGAATATTGCTAAAAGCGGCGTAAAACCAAACTCACTCACTCAGTAATAACCAAAGTTCGTATACAGCAAACACTGGAAGTATCGAACACGAATATAACGAATATCGCGAAGTGATACAATGTGAATCACGTTATTGTTGATTCGGCGATGTGACATGTTGACTACATTGTATTTTCTTATCGTATCCTAGGCGTTGGCGCAATCTGTCAAACAACGTGAGCAACATTTTACAGGTCCGTCTACGTCAAATGGTCATTTAAACACACATGCAGAAATAGATCATTTTATGCGCTACCCTGTCGCCGCTACGTTAGCCTAAGTGTGTATGTTGTTTAACCTGCATAACACGTTTGGGTTACACACATGTAAAAAATAACATCTCCGTCAGATTTGTAAGGTAAAACAGTACGGTGGGCCGTGATTATCAGTCTCGGCAAATAGCGCTTATCTACTCATGAAAATATTCGTGTAATATATTTTTTCAAAAATGTAAAGAAATGAATGCTGAATAAATAAGATGAATCCATGCAAAATAAATTAAAAATATACTGATAAAAACGTGAAATGAATAAGAAATATGTTTTGGAAAAAAAGAAAATGTTTATTCCGACGAAACTTACAAACAATTTGTTGTTGCCTAATGAATCATGAACGTAATGGTGAAATGGCAATATGCAATCACGTGATCCCTGATCACAAAATAAGTCTCCTTGTCAACATGGTGATAGCGCACGACTTTTATTACTGCAGTTAACATATTTGCACTTTTGATTAAGATTACATCTAGTCAAATGGGTGGATTTGATTGCCTCCAGTTTGTTCTTCCAACACGCCCGATACCTTTTAAAGTATTTTTATTATATATTTTGTTATCTGACATGTTGATATAATTTTGTTAACTTATTCAACAGAACGAGTATCAAATAAAGACTGATAGTTGTTAGTTATGGGATTTCCTGTAATTGTAGGCCAATATTTTTGCATACCATTATTTATTTATGTCTATTCCATGTGCTACAAGACCAGTATAATGTCTCGCAAAAGAGGGTACGGCATTTAACACATGTTTAGAAAGTACACCTGATGAGATGCCGCTTTTCAGTTTATGGAACCCCAATGACTGATTCCAGTGTCACAGACACGTGCACTCGATTACACAGGAATTGTTTAAAACATTTCTGTTTCAGCGTCTGTTTTATTTCACCGTGTGAAATATCAACGTGTGTTCTATTTCAATGTGTGAAATATCAACGTGTTCTATTTCAACGTGTGTTCTATTTCAACGTGTGTTCTATTTCAACTGTTGAAATATCAACGTGTGTTCTATTTCAATGTGTGAAATATCAACGTGTGTTCTATTTCACCGTGTGAAATATCAACGTGAGTTCTATTTCAATGTGTGAAATATCAACGTGTGTTCTATTTCAACGTGTGAAATATCAACGTGTACTCTATTTCAACGTGTGAAATATCAACGTGTGTTCTATTTCAACGTGTGAAATATCAACGTGGGTTCTATATCAACGTATGTTCTATTCAACGTGTGTTCTATTTAAGCCTGTGAATAAGCAACTATCAACAAGTGGTCACGTCACGTTCAGGCTTAGATCGTGAACATCCAACGTGAGCAGCTAATGCAGACAATCGGAAACATGCCCTTCCGTGTCATCACCTACATCTACAGTCTGTTGTCTGTACATTTCATGACTATTACGTTCCTTATCATAACAGAAATAGCTTTCACCTGCTAACAACTCCGTTTGTATCTACAGCAAGGTCATCCTTGTCAGACCTTAAGCTCGATCTGCCGCAAGCTTGTTACATGTGTGTAAGTTCAACTGTACTGTCAGTATCATACATGAAACATGATTAATATGAACCAATGAGAAGGGTCCACCCTGACCGTGACAAGCATCACACTTCAGAGCTTCATCCAGATACACGTACATAAATAATGGTTTGTACCTTCCTATACATGTGTATAAATGAATGAATAGATATTGCTTTACTCCGTTTCAGCAATATTACAGCTATTTGCGGCGAGAAACAGTCAACAAAAAATCATGTGCACATAAAGAACAATAATATAAGGTTGATAGAAAATATCAGTCACATATATGTATCACACAAAAACGAGTAAAACTGACTATTTGGGCTAGAATCTATAAGACGAAGACGAATTTCTTTTAAAAATGTTACCATCTTATGGTTATGTACCTATACATGCGTAAGTGAACATTAAGTTTCCCACTCGCGTGCAAATGTGGAGCAAGCAGAGCGTGGAGTAGCAGTACTTGTATCTCGAGCATGTCTTGCGTTGGTGGAAGTTCAGCCTTAAGTTGTCGCCTAGAGGAGATTTGGGTCAACCTCCAAACACGATTTTAGAACAGGCATACAACTACCGACGCTTTAAGGGACCGGACCATGAATATCCGTGATTGTTTAAATAAACATGCAAAATGACATTGTATGCATGTAGGCTCGCATGACATGGTCCAGAAAAGTGACTATGCATTTGATTCATATTACACTGAATTGTTAATATGCATTCACATTACTTAATAGTCATCATGCGTTCTCGTTACACTGAGTTATAATGCATTCAAACGACACCGAGTTATGCATTTTGCATGAGTTACGTGCATTTAGGTTCCATAGAGTAGTCATGCATTCAGGTGTTATTGGTATCATGCTTTCACGGTACATGGAGTTCTGCATGGACCATTTTCACAGGTGTACATATATGTATACAGTTGAACCTTAGTATCCCAAACTCCTCGCCATTCCTCTCCCGAGAGGCCAAAGTTTGAAACAGTGTCGATATAAGACATATATCTAAGGAAGCAGTGCCCAGTGACCACTGCATTGCGCGGTGCCATTGGCTCACTTCTGAGAGGAGTCGGTTCTTCAAGTTCAATAATGCATTTGTAATATAATGTTATCGTTAAGACTAAGTACACACTGTGTCTGTATAACAGTTCCAGGCCCTCGATCTAAGTTCAGTATAACTAAATGTAATATATCGAAAAACATAGAAATGTATCATTCTTTAAATCTATGGCTATCAACACCGATATTGTAACAAACACATGCTTACTTCATACATTTCGGTGGAATTGCCAAATAAAACGTGTCATGTATGATATAGACAGGCCTAATATAGGTCCCTGGCCTTGTGTATGTTGATACTTTATAACCCAGGTGTCATTTGCGATGAGCTAACATTTACTTACTTGCAAATCTCCCAGAGGCGCAAACACGAAGAAACTTGATAATATGATAAATCCATAAAGAAAGGCTCTCTGCAGGTGAAACTGTTTGACAAGCTCGGCTAAATCCGCCATGATTGTAGCAGCGCATGTAATCAAGGCTTGTGATGTGCGCCGCTATGCATGACACTTATCTGACGATGCCTTGAAAACGACACACACAAAACACTGCCAACATTCACCAGGTGCAAGTATGTCAACACCTGTCATTAACGTCTTGCGAGCTTCGTGGCAGGCTAAACTTAGTATAAATCCATACCAGCGAGAAATCAGCTGTGCAACAACACCGTACCGCTTTCATCTACGCTGATGTCAAACTATCTCATAGTAAAGATTCCCCTGTGTGAATGACAGTCGGTGGGCCAGCCAAGCGACCCGTCACCCGTTCGTCTGGCCAGACTAGTAAAGGGGAGAGCTGACGGCCGGCCAGGCTTCATCTGATCTGTCACCACCGTGCTCGCTCTACGCCCGCAGATGCAAACATTACACACGTCTCTTCCGTGTTTTTCACGGCGTTTAAATTTGAGTAATCGACGGCAATGGGTTGGCGGAATGTTAAACTGATTGCGAGGGGATTTTTTGATCAATGGGACAGGCCTAGTGGAGAGGAGGACTTATAACGACATCTAAGGCGTGCCGGTCGTTCTTGAGTGATGATTTGGATGCTAGTCGGATTGGCCGTGGAATGACTGTAACACTTGTATGGCAGGTTTTACGACGATTATTTTCGTGTGTCAGGCAACAACATAATTACATTCTTTTCACTGTTACGGATACAGTGAAATCCTGTTAATCTGGATGGCCCTGTTACCTGTAAAATTCGGACACGTTGCCAGATTCGTATGCCAATTTCATCAAATATAAACGTTCGTGGCGGAAGGTTTCTGAATAAACAGAGCTCGGACTAACGAGGTGTCAGTGTATAAGGGTGCTTCACAATATGGACGATCACACTATAGGTTAACAGAGTGATTGGGTGAGTGAGTGAGCTTGTGAGTAAGTGAGGTCTTACGCTGTTACATTGTCAAAACTTAACATTCGAGTCACAGCGGATGGCACAGAAAGGCGAACATGTAGATGATTTTTCACAATTTCATCGTCGTGGCAAAGGAAATTGACACCTAAAACAGTACCGTGCGTTGTCGCATAATACACACAAACACACACAAACACACACACACACACACACACACACACACACACACACACACACACACACACACACACACACACACACACACACACACACACACACACACACACACGCTCACACACACACATGCTCACACACATGTGCGTACCTTCCTTAAAGTTTTATGGTAGACATGTGGTTCCAGTGTTTATGGTAGACATGTGGTTCCCGTGTTAATGGTAGACATGTGGTTCCCGTGTTTTTTTTAGGTCAATAACTGACTTGCCTTTGCATGTGTTTGTGACGGGTGCCACCGGTGGCGAACACCTGGTATCATTATTATTTGATAGTGATTCATTCAATCGACTCTGCTTCATGCAGAGATTTCTATCGGATATGAAAAGGGTTTTGTCGCTTTATTTATTTGATATCGTTTCTATCGATAGAAGACGGTGTAGTCAGAAAAATTATGCTGCATATCATAAAAATATTTTTGAGAATAAATGACCTGGCTTGACTTGACAATTTGTCGTCAACACAGAGAGGTCACCGCATGTGTTCAGAGATCACCTGGGTGGCACGGAAGGGACGTTATCCCAGCGGTATACTAATCACTTGTAGTTATGGGCTGCCGAGGTACATTATTGTCTGAATAATGTCCTACAATTCCCAGCCTCAATGAAAGTATGCGACATTTTGTTATATTCTTCAAGGCCAGAGCCGTTACAACAGCTCCAGTGAAGTATGTTGTGTATATAGTTTATTTGTTTGTTGTTTAACGCCGCACTCAACAATATTCCAGCTATATGACGACGGTCTGTAAATTCACTTCATGAGATCTGGTTTTATTGAGCTTGCATACACACCATATCGTAATATATATTATATACGGTCTTTGAAAGGCATCTAGAAGTGATACACATAAGGAAGAGAATATATGGATGTCAACTTCTTTATTATGAGGAACACAACGCCTCGGAGTGACCTGATGTCAGCCCAAGAGGAAATATATATTTTACGGACGCTTCTGTTAATATCGCAACGATCTTTTGAAGTGTGCAGTATAGTTAACTTAATCTTGAATTTCTGAAAATAGACAAAAAACAAACTTGGGCCGTCTGTAAGGTAACACACGTGTTTAGTAGGCGCGTGGCTAGCTTAAATGTGGATTCGAAAGTGTGACACTGAATTCACATAAATAATCGCGAGATGATGGTACTGTGGCCACCATTTGTAATAGGAAAGAAATGTGTATTCGCTTGCGTGCTAATATCGTTTCGATTAAGGTACTATCTTCTGTAACCACAGTCATCAAAACAGTAAAATCTTGCTTCAGACGGACATCAGGAAGACCCCGTATTATGTCTGTTATAATAGTGAAGCTGTGTCTGATTGTTATCAACATCAAGACCCCGTATTGTCTGTTATAATAGTGAAGCTGTGTCTGATTGTTATCAACATCAAGACCCCGTATTGTCTGTTATAACAGTGAAGCTGTGTCTGATTGTTATCAACATCAAGACCCCGTATTGTCTGTTATAACAGTGAAGCTGTGTCTGATTGTTATCAACATCAAAACGCCATATTATGTCTGTTATAATAGTGAAGCTGTGTCTGATTGTTATCAACATCTAGACCCCATATTATGTCTGTTATAATAGTGAACCTGTGTGTCTGTTTTTCACAAAATTAAGGTTCCATTAAGGGTAAAAGGCTAATTACTGGTTACAAGCTTATGAATGATCACTGACAATCAGTGATGTCACCAGGTGTTCACACCGTGTCTGTTGTTTGTATACTATTTCAATGACGTAGAACACACCAGGGTTACATACAAAAGTAAGAATGTGTGCAGTTATAACGGAAAAGAATTACTCTCGTAACATCTGTTTTCACCACGAAGACCACGTATTATGTCTGCTGTAATCGTGACGCCCCGTGTCTGTTTGTTGTTTAACACGTCTTCTTAAAATTTATCAACACTAAAACTCCCAATAGATATGTGTACACTTCTCACTCACATGAGTCCCAAAGAGGGACAGGTCAGCCGAAATTGCTAAGGCAGAAGGCGACCTCTTAAACACTTAAACCAACTACAACATATACCAAATCACATACTTTGCCATGGTTAATGCGCAAGTACACATGTTTTTCATTGAGTCCGGACGTGGCGTAGTCAGTACTGTGTTGGAAAGAAGTGAGACAGGTCATACTGAAGATGTTCCGACGCTCAGCCCAAGGCGAACTTAGTCGCCCTCGACAATTGTAATTAGCAAGTAGCGCTGCGGAGAAAACACAATGTATTTGAAGTATAACCACTTATGCCTAGGACCACTCACGCGAAAGATTTTCTTCGTAGTTTGGGAACGATTTTCGCTGGGTTGGCCATGAACCTGTTTACACATATTGTTGTTCCCATAAAAAAACAAGACCCATACACATAATTATATATCTCACCTTATATACCCAGTTGTAACTGCTATCATGCGTATCTAATAGTATCTTAAGATAACCTGAATCTGGTATAGGCAACTATTAAATAATAATACAAATAATTTTAATAAATATATGCAACAAGGTGGTTTCAGTTCAGGATAATTCATAGGATACTTACAACGAACTCATTTCTATTTAATATCAAGAATGTGGACAGTGATCGATGTACTTTTTGCAGTGATGATAGAGAGACGATCGTCCATCTCTTGTGGGAGTGTGATATTGTACAGAATTTCTGGAAACAGTTTATGAGCTGGATAAATGACAAATGTGGACACATTCATAATCTAAATCTTTCAGCAGTATTTATTATTTTTGGCTTTAAAGAAAATCTTATTACTGATAAAGTGTTTGATTTTATCAGCCTGTTCACAAAATACTTTATCTACAGATGTAGAGTTCAAAATATACTACTGAATGTACAGTTTTTAAAGAATGAACTCAAACTTCGCTATAAGATAGAGAAAAGATGTTTTTGTCCACAAACAGAGGTTTGGAACTTAACAAAGACTGGATGATGTACCACAACCTTTTTGAATTTTAGGATATGTATATATATATATATGCTTATGTACATGCGTATATCATGGTATGCCCATGTGTTAGTGTCTACATTTCTGTATTATTCAATTGAAACCACTGATTTGAGGTTTGAGATCTCTTTTTGAGAATATAATGTGTGTGTGTGTGTGTGTGTGTGTGTGTGTGTGTGTGTGTGTGTGTGTGTGTGTGTGTGTATGAGAGTGCTTGTGGCGTCCCTGTGTGAGAGTGTGTAAATGGTGCCTGTATGAGAAGTGTGAATTGCTGTTGTGTTTTTATGATAAAAAAAGGGGATTCCATCATGTGATACATATATATTATGCATTAAATCATTTATTATCACTAGTAATATCAATCATCACATTACAAATGAGGTGCAAACAGTTAATGTATTAATATGCATTATATCGTGTACAATGTATTCTGAACCCTGAATAAAAACAATTATTACAAAAAAATATATGCAACAAAATACCTTCCATAATCATCGGCGAAATAACATTGTCGGTGGTAAAGAAAGGGAGCTAATTCTGCTTGCCTAAACGAAAGTGGTTGGCTGTCTACCCCTGTGGACGTGTGTCTACCCCTGTAGACGTGTGTCACATTTGGTCTCCGGTAGCTGAGTTTGTTTGAGCTAACCATGCTTATTATTGTCATAGTTTTAATAGTGAATACTAGTTTATGCTAAAGGTAGGTCTATCATCTGCCATATTTGACTGTTTTCCCGTGCCGCGTGGTTGACCTGGCGGTTTAGTCGGACAGTGTTTGTGGGGAAATCCTCATTCAAGGTAGTTTCACGTCTGTATAGTTCACGTGTAGTGGAAAGTGAATCTGACGGGGATGTTAACGCAGAAGAAGTCTTTGCTTGCCATTCAGTTATGCATTTCATTTCACATGTATTTGTATGTTTGATGAGTTTTTATTGTGCAATGTGTACGCTTAAGAAGTAACTTTTTCATTTTCAAAATCAATAACCATAGCTGCAACTGTGTATACGACTACACTTGAAAAGACCCGTGAAGATTCGGGGTAGAATAGATCTTCATCAACCCATGCTTGCCATAAAAGGCGACTATGCTGGTCGTAAGAGGCGACTTACGGGATCGGGTGGTCAGCCTCGCTGACTTGGTTGATGCATGTCATCGTATCCCAACTGCGTGGATCGATGCTCATGATGTCAATCACTGGATTGTCTGGTCCAGACTTGGTTATTTACAGACCGCCGTCATATAGCTGGAATATTGCTGAGTACGGCGTTAAACAACAAACAGACAAACAAACAAAACATTCAAATCCCTCCATTGTCTCGACAACCATTTGGTATCCAAAACAAGGAGTGACGGTAACACCCCTACCTCCCTGCACACAGACACATTCTAGAAAGAACT